ATCTGTTCAGGTACAACAACCACATACAGCACAAAAATTAACCATTTTAATACAAAATTATTAGAAAATTTTACAAAATTTGCTTTGTTTACAAAAGTGATATAATAATTATGCATAGATTCAGATTGCTAATTTGTCCTCCAGATGCATCATCACCAGCGCTGTGACGTCATGTGCAATGGGGCTATATCGAGTCATGATTTACTCAATTTCGGTTACCGTCAGTCTTGAAAACACTAAAAATCTACCGTGAAGCGCGAGGAAAAAAATACTGTTTACCGTTTCAGAACACTTTTTACTGTTTACTGATTTTCAGCCCCCCATCTAGACCCTCTATCATGTCTGCCACATTAGAGCCCATAACATCAATTAGGAACATACATTTTGGACATACATTTTGGACATACAATGTATAGCAAGAATAAGACTTTGAAACAGCGATGTTTTGCTAATTTTAGAAGGGGGGATGGTCTTGAAAATCAATTGGCCGTGGTCACTTGATTGGGCATGGCCTCATGCATAGTCATAGTGCAGGGTTCGAAACTTGAAATTTTTGTCAGTGTCCAAGTGGATACCAGCACCATAGAATCTAGTATCCATCCTTGAAATATAGTATCCCAGATTTGGATACTAGATATTCTATTTCCAGTATCCAAGCAAGGCAAAATATATTTTTTTAAAAACAAGTGCAATATTATAAGCTCCACTCCTCCAATAATAATGATATATTTATAATTATATCTATTTTATTTTCACATAATACTGTAAGTGTTTTATGTTTATAAAATAAACATTCAGACCGTAAGTAATATTATATAAATCATATAGATTATTTAGTATTATTTATTTGATAACAGAACTCAACAAATATGGTAAACTTAAAGTATTGAAAATGTCTTTTTCATGATGCAATTAAAACTCAAATCCATAAAATTCTGAGTCTGACTCTGAAGAATCCGAATCAAACAATGAGGCTCCATCTATACGCGGTGCTGGTGAAGCTGTTGCAGCATTCGGGCCATTTGGCATTAAAGGAATACCGAATGGTTTTCCGTGCAGGATTGTGTGATCCATGCACGAGGGATGTTGCGAGACTTTCGGAAAGCGTAAAAATACTCGAGCCGCAGGCGAGTGTATTTTTACGCTTTCCGAAAGTCGAACAACATCCCAAGTGCATGGATCACGCTATCCTGCTTGGAAAATCATTTGGTAATTTTTTTATAAAATAACTACAGTGAAACAATGACATTTTGTGAATCCCGCGAAAATCCTGTGAAGGCATTTTAATTCCTCGTGCAGGATAGCCTGATCCTGCACGGCTATTGACCAATCAAATTGCGTGTTTCACTGTAGTTATTATATAAATCTTGTTCTTCACTGTCAGAATTAGTCAGCCAAACTATCAATATTTTAAACATTGTTTTAAATGATTAAAGATTTTAAAAATCGCCAATATTTGTGCTTCGATTCCTGAATTTAAACATACATGCGGCATGCAAATATTTTGCAAATATTTTAAGTTTTGCCTTGCAACCAGACCTTCAGTTGCTAAGCAACAAACCAGGGCTTTAGTTTGAATAATAAAAATATGTATTGAAATTCGAAAAATTGAAAATATATATGCACTGCGACGATACAAAAGAAAGAACTAGCTGTTTGTGAATTTTTTTTTTTTAAATGTTCTGCCAAAATCCATAGACATTGAAGTTCAAAAACATGCCAAACGTCTAGATGATTATCTACTATCGCAATTTCTAAATTTTCCTAGTATCCAGTTGGGATACTGAGCTTATGATACCCAGTATCCAAAATTAAAATCTGATATCCCGTGGATATCGGGTTACCGCAAGTTTCGAGCCCTGTAGTGAACAAGTACATAAATCCACTTCAAAAACTAAGCTATTGCGTAGTACAATGTTGAAATAACAGAGGGAAATAACTTTGGGCAGGGCCACCCAGAGAAATTTGGGGGGCCGGGCCAAATTTTTAATTCGGTGGCCCTATTTTTCCCCGAAAATGGGGGGGGGGGGTAGTGAACAATTTTTCCAGGACACATCCAAAAAAAAGGTTCAAACAAATTTTTCTGGACAAACACCAATCAAATTAATTAACATTCAAAAAAAAATTTTCCTGACAAATACTTGCCAAAATCACGTCGAAAACACATTTTTTCGGGCCAATACCAGTAAAATTAAGGTCTAAAAGATTTTTCTCATACCATGACTTATATAAAAAACGTTCCAAATAATTTTTTTTTTAAATTACACCTTTCGCCTCCCCCTTTTGCAAATTTTGGGGCCTCTTTAACTGGGGGCCCGGGGCAAATTGCCCCCTTTGCCGTTGTGGATATTTGCTACAATGGATAGACTTGTAGCAATTGTTAATGTATTATGCATCGGTGTGTTGTACAGTACAGTGGGGTCTGATGTTTCTAATCATTCTTTAGAATTTTAACTTTTGTCATTGAGAATTAAGTGTAAAATTTGTTTAGTCAGACCATCCAATTTATCAGTATTCTTATGTTGTAAATACTACTTTGTGTTATGTAAGTAAATCCAATGAGAGAAATGTAAAGGAAATTTCAACATTTAAAAAAATTGTACATTGCAATTTGAAATTTGGGCAAATGTATTGTATTAATTAAACATGAAATATGATATGACCGGAAAATTATGTTTCCCTTTCCCCCCCACCCTCCGCCAACATTTCCAGGAAATATTTTTAGGTGCACTTTTCATTATCCAATAGTGCCCCTGGAAGCCGATGCCCCCCCCCCCATCTTTTGATGCTTCCTACACTCCTGCACATACTCTGAATGGAACATTATTGAATATATCCCACAAGGCAGAATACTGGCAACAATGTTGTACAATATCTTTACCAACGATTTGTTCCTGAGTTTACCTGTTGGTAAAGACCGCAAAGTCAAATATATGACTCGCATAAAGACTCTAGTGAACTTGACAAGCAGATGCAAATTATGTTTCCATTGTTAAATAATTGGTTACTTTGAAACTAATGGAATGATCTGCAATCCTAGTAAACATCAAGCAATGGTTATGGGGAACAATGATTACAAATTCTCTTTTCGAATAAATGACTCATTTGATCTCCTTGGAATGACGATTCATAAGGACCTTATGTTTGATAAACATGTCACAAATATTTGTAAAAAGGTTAACGATCAATTCAACGCCATGAAGAGATTTAGAAACCTTATCTCTAGACGTACAGTACAATGTGTGTTATATCAAAATTTTATACTTCCACATTTCACTTATTGTTTGTCTGTGTGGCACTTTGTGGTGCTAACTAGCTTGTGTAAAATGACATACGTAAATGTTTTCAGGAAACAAAAAGGGCACCTTCGATGATAATATAGTATTTACAGCAACATTAGCTTGTACAAAAAGGGCTCTTTCAGGGCTTTCAGAATTATTCTGAGTAGGTTTCTGTCATTTTGATAAAGTAGGCGGCTGTTGGGAGGGGGCGGTCTGCAGGGTGTCTAAAAAAACAGGCTGTCGTGAATCATAAACGTGGCTAAACAATTCAATTTTTACATACGACAAAAGAACAGTTATTTAGCTTTTCAATCATGATACTCTTTTTAAATCGTAACGATGAGAAATAGCCACATACTCGTCAAATAAAAATTGCCGGTTGAAATCACATTCTTCCACCGTTGGGAATTGCATTGTGGAAAACGAAACATAGACAATTCCCAAGAGGGAATTAAATGTTAAGTTATCTGAAAATGAGCTCAACTCGTCAATCTTCGTCTTAGTGAGACAACACGAACGTCCATTATTGCATTAAACATGGTTCAATTAACCACTGAACAGAGAACATTCGCAGTAATCAAAACGTTTTACGAAACAAAAACCTTGCAGCAGGCTCGCGGTGCTTTTGGATTGATTAACTTTGCATGGTTAATGTATTTTCAATTCCCAACGGTGAAAGAATGTGATTTTGCGACCGACAGTTTTTATTTGACAAGTATGTGGCCATTTCTTCAGTATATTGTTACGGTTTAATTAAGAAAGGTATCATAAAAAAGCTGAATAACAGCTCTTTCGTCCAATGTAAAAATTGAATTGTTTAGCTAAGTTTGTGATGCACGACAGCAAGTTGAATTTCCATAGCGGTTTTTTTGAGACACCCTGTACATATAGGGAGTCTTAAAGTCATCCAAATTAACTAGTGTATATTGCTTAGATAGCAACACAACTGAGCTCTGTAACCAAATTATAATGTATCACTACTTTCATTCTTCAACAAGATGACTTCAAGATTTAAGATGGCAAATAACTAAATCGGTTTTAAGAAAAAGTACGTCGTTTTCGAAAATAACCAGGCTATAAAGTGGACCAGGTTGATGAAAAATAACTTGAAAGCTTAGAGTGGAGGAAGGAGAGCAGAATTGATATTTCAAGTACTAAACAAAGTAACCGGTGGTAAACCTCGTGGCACCCTCCGGCGGCCGCCGGCTTATTTTGAAAGCCCTGAAAGTTCATCACAAAAAAGGGCTGCATGCCCCCTGTTCCTACGCCCCTGAGTATGTGTCCCCCAATTTTTACTCACTGCACTCTATTTGTTAAATAATCTTGAAAGAATTTAACACTTTCATTGGTCATACCATAAGTTTTTAATTTAGCTAATAGTGAAATGATGTCGAATGCCTTAGACAAATCCATTGAAACTATCCCAACAATTTCTTTCTTATCACAGCTCTGTATTCAGGGGTGTCGCTAGAGGGGAGTTGTGTTTGGGGAATTGGATAGGAAGGAAAAAACTAAAATATATGAGTTACACTGATTAAAAACTAATATTTATAGCAAAAGTTTGGGAAATTTATGGAACAATTAACAAAGAAAGGAAAAGAAAATGCAATATTGGGAAACTTTTTTGTAGCAATAGATGCGCTATCTATTCTTAGTGTATATAGGGTAACCATGCCTGACATGTTAACATGCATGGTTTATGTAAACAAGAACATTTCCCTTTCTGCTTCCCTTCCACTACTTCCAGCAGGGTTACCTTATAGCATGCATGTAAATGCACAAAATTCATGCAAACACCATACATTAACATAACTTGTGTACCAAGGTAATATCTCGACATGTAATTCTTGCTGATTGTTTTTTATTTTTTTATATTTTAGCATGAGTTCAATGACCATCACTATATGCTTATGGTGCAATGGAGTGGAAAATCTTCAAGTGATACAGTAGTGGTGCTCTCGAGAGATATACACCAAACCAGTCAAAGTACCAGTTATCTCTATGTTTCCAATAATTACGGTGTATCGTACAATAATAAGTCACACCTGCTTCACTTCAACAAAGATGGAATCACGAAGCATGCGCTTATTGAAAAGTTTTATACCAGTCCAAGTAATTTTAACTGGGTCAGTATTTTTAGTGTATAATTTACTCACATTGGTCTTTCATAGATAAATAAGTTAGACTTTTATATATAATATTTTTAAATATATTTTTTTTATATTTTGGGTGCATTGCACGTTAACTGATCAATCACCGACATTGAAGGAGTGCGTGTTTCAAATGTGCTTAAATTTAATTTATTTTCTGGTTTAGTAGGGAATGTTTCTCAATCGTAGCAAAAAAGTTGGCAATTTTCAGATGGCCGCTAAACTGAAACTTCCACAACTTTTGTGAATGTGGGTAGTTAGGGTCTTCTGATTCCTTCAACACTAAAATGTTTCTTACAATTAAACAACTGAGTGCAAGGCTGTTTTTACCAACCACATTAAAAATATCTTATGCACAAAAAGGGAAGCTGTTTAAAATGGGATTTGTATTCTTAGGGGGACAAGGTTAAGATGAATTTTTAAATAACAAAACAATTTGATATACTAAGTTCTTCCCAGACTATTCTACAGTAGGTCTGGTTGTATAAAATACTTAACCACTTTTTCACCACTATTTTGTAGTTAAATTGTAGTTAATAACTGTGCATAAACAGCCCTTTGCACTCAGAAGTTTAATTTTAAGGAGAACATTAGTATTGAAGAAATCAGAAGACCCTTTTAATTACCCATATTCCCAGAAATTTTCACAAAAATATTTGTCTACATTTTTTATACACCTTGACCTTGTATAATAGGTTACGTCAGGCCTTAAAATATCTTTTACAGGGCGGTCTGACAAATGTCCGATGACCTTCAGTTCAGTTTTGACTTCGAATAAGTCTGAATGACACGTCAAATGAATATCAGCACAATGTTTTAATTCTGAACGGTAAATGTTATGAAGATATTAAATAATTCGTTTCTTTCATACTTATTTCCAAGCCAAAATTAACTTGCTTGCCAGAACAGCAGTATTAAAAAAAGACTTCGACAACTTAAGCCCGTTTTCCACTTCACTATTTCGCTCGCCACCCCACGCTCGACTACGCTAAAACAACATTTCCAGTTCACCTTCTATACAATAGTACTCTGATTTTCCATTTAATATACAAGCCTCTAGTCCTGGGCTAGGGTACATT